GACCATTCAAGTTTTGCAAATTCAGTCTTTTAGAATTGGACAAGTCCTCATATAGATGTGAAATGAAAGGATCATATGTCCATGTATCTGCTTTAATATCAGAGATATTTATGATTATGTCATTTGGATATATTTTTATAGTCAGTATAACAACATTAAGAATGTTGTATTGTTGCCACATCATCTCAAATATAGCCAGAATATCATTTTTTTCCAAAGTTTGTGTGTACAGAATGATAAACATAAATTGAGTCCTGGGGCTGCAGTGCTGAATACAAGCTTTTATTTGTACTGTAAGTGTTGTTATGAACTCATAATGTAGTATCATCAGTAGTGCATCTCCTGATGGTATGTCCATAGAATTAGTCCTACAGCTGTTTGTCTCTAGTTTCCATATTACCATAGGGATGTGTAACTGTTCCTGGATGCACCAGATAGAATATGTAGGTATATCCACAGAATTTAACTGCATTTCTGCAGTTATAAGGGACACACATTTTGCATCAACAAAACAGTTGAAGTGATTGTTGTCTGTTATATCATGTTTTGTTTGGTACATGAAGTTCTTTCTGCTTTGGCTTTTTGTAGTGCTGATTATATCACAGGAGATAAGTAGAGCCCACATTATTATGTTGCCCTGTGTATCCAGTCTCATTTTCCTGGGGGTAAAAGAAATAATGTTGTACTTATACACATATATTCACACACTTGTTCTTTAAGTTCTTTAGTATATGGACTTTATTATTTCTGTATCAGTTTTATAATTTTCAGGGACACTGTTGATGTTTGGAGGAAGCTAATTTTATGCCATTTGACTCTTAATAGGAATTAATGACAGTTATCACATATCATAACCAAGGGAAATGGAAATGTAGGAAGAAACAGAACTAGCGATTTGGCAGAATGTATTGCTACGTAACCTCACTAATCATAGTATTACATAAGAGACTTGAGGCTGGGCAACTGGTCTTTCTTGGATTAATCATTAATCATGTGCACATGTGTATGAGCATACACAACTATGACTTAACATATGTACTAAATTTTATGAAAATTTATCCATTGGTTGTAAAGTTGAAAGGGGGAATGCAGAAACATGCAGGCAGTGTGGTCATAAACCAACTTTCTTGCCACTAAGACAGGCGAGGTGACTATATAAATATCTGTGAAATACAAAATGCTTTACTAGTGTTCCATTGGAATTTGCATTGCTGCTTGCTGTTAAGCAATTTACATTGCAGGAGGTACATAGTATATTCAGAAAAATGTTGAGTTAGTTGTGGTCTTGTGAGGTAATAAACACTTAAGTTCATCTTGATCCTATCTGTCGACTTTGTGTTTTCTTTAGCTTCAGGATAGAATAAGATTATAACTAATTATTGAAAATGCATGAAATTGTGTTGTTTCTCTGGTATAATTTCCTCATTTGAAGCAAAATTTTCTTAGTAGCTGTATGACTTACCTGATTAATTTTGCTTGGACTTTCGGTCAGTTTTGAAACAAACTGGTACTAATATGCCAACTGCAAAGAAAATTTAATTCTTTATTCTTATCAGAAGGTTTAGTTGTTTTCCAAATTATAGCATTTGTACTAGCAGCATGAAGTTGTTATAGGACAGTAAAGTTTATTAAAAGATTTTTATAGTTATTGATGTTTGCATATAGTGATTATGTTGTCACCATCAACTTGTCACTCATGTTAGAAGTGATGTGGTCCTTTTGTGGCTTTGTTATTGTTGTTTATAATTTCTCCTATTACGGTAATTTTGCTAATCCAGTTTTCATTTGACTTTTCCCTTTCAAAGTAAAAGTCTTTGTGTTTTAATTATTATCCTACTATCATTATATTATAAAATTCTCTTTGCGGTGCACTTAATTTGATCTGTGGTACTATGTCACAGTTGGCTTGAGTCTTTGTTCTTGTGGTTCAGAATGAGCTCATCATATGTGTGTGTAGAAGTGCTTGTAAATGTGTTTGTGATGTCAGGTTTTAATAACAGGCTATAGACATAATTGAAACAAATTTTTGACGTGGATCCAACATGTACGAAGAATGGACAAGGACAGATTGCCACATCTAATTTTGAAACACAAACCAATAGGAAGAAGAAAAAAGGGCACCCTTTAAAAAGATTCCTGGGCGATTGAGGCTAAATTGGGTCACAAGGGCCAAAATCCTTGGCAGTTACATGATGATGATGGACGTGGATATAGTTATGTTTCTTTCATTCATCTTGTGATGAGTCTCAGTCATCAGATGGCATGTGATATTAATGAGAGCAACAAGTCATGATAAGAAGAAAATATAGTGTACATTAATTGAGATAGAATAGGAAGACAGCTATCTTATAGGTCATCGCACTGTGTAATCTGGTAGAAGTTTACCAACATCTCAGAGGTGCTTACTGTCTCCATCAACAGGGTAATGATGACTGAGGCAGCAGGCATCTCTGAAATATCAGTAAACATCTACTTGACTAGAATGTGCAACAGCCCAGAAGACAGCCATCTTTAGACTCGCCACCATGAAAACCTCAATTTAACTGAGATAGAATTTGACATTTGATGTTCTTGGTCTCACTAAATGACTCCAGCATGTCAAATTTGGTCCCCCACATTAAATGAAGAACAGGTTGCTGGGGAGAATATTTTGATATAGCAGGGAATAAGTAACAAGAAATTTGAGCAAACTGAACAGTGAGAATTTCATAATTTGGATTCTACTTTGAATTTTGTTAGGATGATTATATCAAGGAGACTGTGATGAACAGACCATGTAGCATGCATGGGAGATATGATAAATGCATCCTTAGTAGTTGTCAGAGAAAGTAAAGGCCAGAGACCACTTGAAGGATCAAGACATTATGGGAGAATATTGCTGAAAGGGATTTTAAAGAAATAGGGTAGAGGGTGAAGACTGGATTCACCTGACAATGGCTGTCTTCTGGGTTGTTGTGCTATCATACTTGCTACTGTGAGAACCTGAAATATCAATGGATTCACCTGGCTTAGAATAGGGACCAGTGGCAATTCGGGTTCTGTAAAAAATGGAAAATTTCTTGGCTAGTTGAGCAAGTACTAGCTTCTTGAGTCGTGCTCAGCTCTGTGGAGTTGTTAGTTACAGAACATATTATTCTTATGTGAAATTGTGCCATTTGTATCTGTTTTCATAAAACATGATGAGTTATTCCATATACTTACATACATCTTTATTACATTCCATGTATCCATAAGTTAGTCAGATGACAATAGGCTGTACAATAAGTCATAATAATACAATACATGTTATACAAATACAAGTCATACTGTTATATAAATGTCACAAATACAAAGTGTTCACATAAAGTAGAGATAAGTTACAAATAAACCCACCCATTATATACAATAGATAAATTATGACTTACTTGTAAACATTAGAAATTCATCGACAGAGTAAAAGGAGTGTGTAATTAAGTATCTTTTCAATGCTAGTTTAAATTGTGCCTTTTTATTTACAAGACTTGTGAGATTTGATGGTAGACTGTTGAAAATTTTGATCCCTGCATAATATGCACTCTTCTGAAAACATGAGAGGTTGGCAATTGGTCTATGAAG